CCCTCTCCTCCCACCTGGCATGGTGGCCGTGACTGTCAGCCACAGGCCCTACCCTAGACACCCCTCCATGGCACATGTATTAGCTGACTGCCATCAGGAGGAAGTGACTGAGGGCTTAAAAAAACAGAAGCAGCTGACAGAAATGCCCCTTTCTGGGGGCCAGGGTTCCAGGACCACAAGATTGTGTCTTATGGAGGGGGTCAGCAAGGGACTGTGTGAGAGATGAGTCATGGGTGCCCCTCAGAGTTAGCTACAGGAAGGGCTGACTGGAAGAGGACAGATCCAGCCCAGAGGACATGAAGGGCCCTTTTGGGAATGCAAACACCTCTCTACTTCCCACAGACCCTGGCTTGGGCTGGGCCACCCTCAAGGGACCGAGTCCCCACCCCAATGGGGATGTGGTTGTCTGGGGACAGGGTAGGGTTTATCCTGGGGAAAGCAGTACAGATTTTAAGGAATTTTGATCTACAGATTTCATGCAATTCCAATCAAAATCCTGGCAAGCTTTTTTATAGATATTAATAAGCCAACTAAAGTTTATAAGAAAGGCCAAAGGAACCAGAACAGACAAGATTCTGAAAAGGGTTCTTAGGCAAATGGACAGGAGCAGAGGCAGAGAGGAAGCTGGGGAATTCTCCAGCACAGCTGGTGAGGGGGCGAGGCCCTGGGGGGCCTGCCTCCCACTCTGCTGGGTTTGCCCATCTCCTCAGCCACATGCCCTGGCCCCACGCTGCATCTGCAAAACGATGCCACCCAACTGTCTTGCTGAAGATGACCTGTACCAAGGACGGGAGGCTCCACAAAGGACCTAATGATTCCTTCCCTGGCTGCATGTACTCACTCCTTTCCTCATCCACTGATGAGACAAGTTGCTGTCTCCCCAACAACTGCCCTATCTGCAAGTTAGCATAGCCTGCGTGCAAGTTCCGCCTTCTCCATGTCTGTCTGGAGTCCTTCAGCTCTCTCGGGAGCGCTTAAGAGCTTCTCCTTTCTGCACAGAGCCCAGCATGAGCCCAGTAAAAAGTGGTGGTATTTGCTGTGCTCCTCAGGGAAGCAAGTGCTGTTCTTCTCCCCATCTTTCAGTTGAAGCTACTCAGGTGAGGCTCCCTGAGGAACGAGGCTTGCCAGGGCCAGGAGGCTGGTAACCAGTAGGACTGGTCTCTCGGCCTGAGCTGCTTCCAGGTCCCCAGCTCTCTCCATGTGCCTAGCTCTCTACAATGTTGGGCCCTGCTGCACAAAGAACCGTCTCGACGTTTCTTATCTCTATTCAGTCCTGGCCATGTAAACCAAAGTGCCTGACAATGAACTAATGAACACCAACACAACACCCAGGCTACCTCCACAAGCCCGTGCAGTGCCTACGGGGCCGCTGCATGACATCTCCCTCCCCGCTCTGGTCACTTGTACGGAGCCCGGGCTGGGGTTTCTAAGCCGTGGGTCAGAGGGTGTCTGTCCATGCCTCCCCAACAAGATGTCACCCTCATACACACAGACCTTCTCACCCTGCAGCTGCTTCACACCTCTGAGCATTCTCTGCCCAAATCCTACCCATTGAGATTTCAGACCCAACTCAAGAGGAATGTTCTCCCTGAGGTCTTGTCCTGCTGCCCTTGGCTGAAGGCTGCCCCAAGTGGGTCCTGCAATCCTCTCAGGACACTTCAGAAGGGCAGGTGGCCACACAGGTGCCCACCTGGCATCTGGGCTCAGTGTGGGTTGACCTGGACTGAAGCAGACTGTACTTACCTCCCAGGAGCCAAGGAAGCCAAGATGCCCACTGGTCACTAGCCTCAGTGGTCATCCCTGGCCACCCCTCACCTAAGGGGAGCTGGAAGGCTGTCTCTTTATCCCCACTGGCAAAGGGGGTCATGGCAGGGGCTGTGGCTAGGGGCTCTATGGAGCCAGCTCCCAAGACATAAGCATCCTTCTGGGAGTCCCTTTCAAGATCTGGAATACAGATGAGGAGAAAGGTCCCCTCTTTCCTCAGACAGACACAGATTCTGCTGCCTTGTGCTCTTTCCGGCAAGCCCATAACCAAGCCCTAGACCCTGCAGTGTGGGGTTAAACCCACAAGGGTCTGGCCACTTGGAACAGGGACGGAGGCTCTGCCTTCCTGAAGAACCCAGGCAAAGCCTTTGCTCTAGGGCTGTTCAAGTTAGGGGAGACCACTTTTCCTGGGGAGCACAATTCCACTCCCAGCTAAGGTCGGGCATCCTGGGCATCCTGACAACCATGGCAGTGACTGATAGCAGAGGGATGGCCACACAGAAGCCAAGCTCATGATGAGCAAGCTAGAACTGTCCTGCCTCAGAGGGGGTGGACTCAGAGAAAAGTGGAAGAATGGGCTGAGCTGAAGCAGAACCCCAATGCAGTGTCCCTCATGCTTCATCCCTGGGCTGCTAGGAGCAAAGAACAGTGGGCCCCTTGCCCTTGCTCAGCCCAGTGGGCTCAGCAGGGGATTTCAGAGGGGGTCTCGAGCTTCACCACAAATGACTTGTTAAGGTCCAGAAGGTAGGGATGCCTGGGTGGCTCAATGGTTGAGTATCTGCCTTCAGCTCAGGAGGTGATCCTGGGTCCCAAGATTGAGTCCCACAGGCTCCCTCCCTGCAGGCAGCCTGCTTTTCCCTCTGCCTGTGTCTCTGCCTCTCTGGGTCTCCCATGAATAAATAAAATCTTAAAAACAAAAACCCAGAAGGTGAATGCAGGGGGAATGGGGACTCTTATCCAGAGCTCGCGAGTAGGAACCTGGAGCTCTATATACCCTTCTTTTTCACACGGTTTTTGTTATAAAATCCCTCAGGCACACAGAAAAATTCAGAGAACACAACACAACACTTGTAATCCCTTCCTCCAGAGTCAATAAAAGTAACATTGCTGATTCTGAGACAGGTTTGTTCCTCCTCCCCCTCCTCCCTTTTTATTTAAGAAATCCAGTGTTGTAGCCGGCTGAAGCCTTCCCCTAATCCTCCCAGCTTCCCCGGGCTTTCCCAGCAGCTGATCTCCATGTGCTGTTCACATTTCTGTAGCTTCCACTTCACTGCCCTTGACCTCCTCCCACACACTTGCTTTTCTGTTCAGTCTGTCGCCCTCTAGACAGCATCAGCTCCATGAGGGCAGGGGCTGTGTTTGGTCCACCGTCACCTCCCAGACCAGGAGTGATGCCCTGGGCAAACCAGCCAACCAGCCGAGTCAGGACTTGTTGAGTGAATAACACTTCTATCATCATGTGGGCTTCTTCATTTGATATAAATGCTCTTGCCCTGACTGTTTTCAATTCTGAAGCCTGCTCTTTCCTCCATCAACACCTTGTTTGAGATTCAATCACACACTTCAACAATTAAGGATTCAACTGCCCAACCTAGCCACCTGCTAACCAATGACCCTTCTCTTTCTCATCAAGGAGAAAGGGGATGAGAGCAGGGACCTCCCATCAAAACGAAGACAGCCCAGAAATCAGGACTCAAGGCCGAGGCCCCAAGTAAGAATAAACCAGAAGAAAACCAAAAGGTTCCCTCAGCAGGTACACAGTGTCCCACAGAACTGGGGAAACTATGCAGGTATCCACCCCCAAATCACACAGCAAAAGAGCAGTGACCTGGCCTTCATCTCTGTCACTAGCGAGGGCCCCTAGAGGTGCCAGTGGAGGGGGCCAGACCCAACCAGAAAGCACAGAGCCTGCCACTAGGGTGGTAAGGGTCCCAGCACCACCACTGAGCATCACCTATACCTCTCAGCACAGAGCTGTTCCCATTGCTGATAAAAAGCGAGGTGGCAAGAACCACACAGGGCTGCCCGTGAAGACCGTGTGAACCCACTCTGTAAACTGCCAAGTCATACAAGCGCATGCCCCATGGATTTGAAAAAGCCCCATTTCGTTTGGGATCAGCTTCTGATGAGGGGCCTGTGCCCGGGAAGGTTCCACTCACCATGGTGAAGATAAGACAAGGTTGTGGCATCAAGAAGTCCTGCTCCTTCTCCAGGGAGGGTCCCCTGCTGTGCCCCCTCAAAGCACAGTCCGCCCAGGTAAGTTTGCTTAGGACATCAAGATTCACTACCCCGAGTGAGCAGGTGCCTTCAAGCCCGGTGCCTGAAGGAAACTGTTCAGGACAGGGAACACCAAGGGGACCTGTCCATTCAGAAACCAAGTCTGATTCCAAGCACAGTTCCCCAGCTACCCTTGTGGCCCTAGCGCAAGGCTGGAGGAGGAGGACATGGGATCCCCAACTCTGGCCATGGAAGTGCTGTGCAGACATGAAGGTTCTCCCCAGCACACGAAGACCAACCACATGGCTCCCACCTGCCCCACCCCTGGGATGTACAAATGTTTCCCAGGTATTTTTGATGGAAAGCAGCACCCAAGCTATATGGAGGTGCCAGCCATCCAGACGGGACGGGGACAGGGGGCAGACTGTGTGCCCACAACCACAGGGCAGAGCACTGTGTTCGGGCAACTGAAGTTGACTGGACCAGGTGACAGGATCTGGCAGGAGAGAAACATGCTCCCTGATCTCCCAGGAGGGGCATGGGGAGCACAGACAGGGAGGAGGAAGCAGAGGCCTCTGAGCCCAGCTCCGTATGAAGACCAGCCTGTGAAGTGGAGATAAGAGGAAGAAGGAGAGGACAAGGAATCCAGGCTGAGACAGCAGCACAGAGGCCACTGCCAAGAGATGCTGAAGGGCCGGAGGGGTGATGGGGAACCAGGAGGGGTCGGGTGGCCCAGGCAGAGCACACAAGCCACACATGGTCTGGACCTGATTTTCCAGGTGCCGGGGAACCACGCCACGCAAGAGGTTTTGAGAAGAGGGATAAGCCATATGGGGGTCAGGAAGGAAATGCTGGTGGCCAGGTCAAAGCCAGCTGGTCAGTGGGGGAAAGGGGGCAGAGAAGGCTCGGGTGGAGGGGAAGGGCGAGCTTTTTCAAGGCAGCCACAGCATGAGTGGGGGAGGCATGGGGGCAGAGGCTGTGACAGAGGTGGATGACACGGAGGTGAACACAGGCCTTACCTGTGCTTCTCGCCTTCCTCCTCCCCTTCTCTGAGCTGCTTGGTCTTGGGCTCCCCATCTTCCTTGTCCTACAAAGAGAGGAAGAAAACCACTTGCTCAGATGGATGCTCCTACTTCCAGTCCTTGATGCCCAGGGAGCTGGTGAAAAAAGGAACAGCTCAGGAGCCACCCACCCTGGCAAGGAACAGCTTGCTGTTGTAGCCTCTGAGTGGGCACAACACTGAAGCCTCGTGCCCCAAGCCTTCAACTCCCCCGCTACCCACCCCACCCCCAAAATTTAACAACTGGTGCCCCCAGCCCAGGCCAGACACACAGTGGTGGCCCTCAGAGAATGCTAGCAGAAGCTAGAAGGATTTAGTGGTGAGAAACAGGTGATCAGTGCCAGAGGGTTCCCTTCATGGGTCTGCATGAGGCCACCCCTTGAGCTGGGATGGGCAGTCACCAGCAACCAAGCTGGGGCAAAAGCTCCCTCCTGACTCCCCTTCCATGCCAGAGGCCTCTCCAGAAACATCTATTTATTTACCTTAAGGACTAGCATAACTCAAACTAGAACCGGGCTTATAATAATATATTCAAGGGATAGAGGTAAGGGGACTTAGTTTGAAATCTCTATGGGAAAAATTTCTTCTAAATGTCTTTTCTTTGTCTTCCTCCTGCCTCCCATCTCTTTATAGGGCTAGAGAAGCTATGTTCACCTCAAACCTGACACTGTATACTTGTTCTCCAGACACATCAGGGGCCACAACAAAGGATACCACCATGCTGCTTCCACCTGCAGAAGCAAGTGTCTTCCCAAGCTTTCTTCCTTACTCTGTAGGATCAGACTGGCCCTGGGGACAGACGGACATGCAGGGTGTGTGCACATGTATGTGCTCAAATGTATGACCATGTTCTCAGTCCTGAGGCACCCCCACGGTCCTTGTGCATGCCAGGACTGGTCCTCCAGAGGGTGTCACTGTGCACTGCATTACCAGCAGCAACGTGCCTTTGACCATCTCACTGAAGCAGTATTCTGAGACATCAGTAAGGTGCTGCCACAGGGAGGCCGCTATGACATAAGAAATAGCTAGGAAAAAAAAAAAAAAAAAAAGAAAGAGCTAGAGGGGTGCCTGGCTGGCTCAGTTGGAGGAGCATATGACTCTTGATCTCAGGGTCGTGAGTTTGAACTGCCTGATGGGTGTAGAGATTACTAAAACAAAAAACAAAACTAAAAAAAAAAAAGTTGCTATTTGCAACAACATGGACGACAGAGCTAGATGGTATTATGCTAAGAGAAATAAGTCAATCACAGAAAAACAAATGCTATATGATTTCATTCATATATGGAATTTAAGAAACAAAACAGAGGAACATAGGGGAAGGGAAGGAATAATAAGTTGAAAACAGAGAGGGAGGCAAAACCATAAGAGACTCTTAACTTTAGGAAACAAACTGAGAATTGCTGGGTGTGGGGGGAAGATTGCTGGGGGATGGGATAACTGGGTTATGGGCATTAAAGAGGGCACCTGATGGGATGAGCACTGGGTGTTATATACAACTGATGAATCAATGAACTCTAACCTCTGAAATTAATAATAATATATTATATGTTTATTATATCAAATTTAAATTAAAATTTAAAAAAGCAGAGCGCTAGAGCCGACAGAAATTTTAAGTAAACCAGCTACATGCACTAACTCTCCTCAGAGTTCGTTTATGCTGCTGACAACTGCCTCCACAAGAGTGGCATTTGTTTTATGAGTCACTTCCTAACAGTGATCATCATGGGGACCTGAGAACAGCCAGACCCCACCATTCCTTGGCCTCACACTTGCAGGGAAGGAGACCACTCAAAGCAGGCAGGCTAGAGGCTTTTGGCCCAGAGAAACGCTTTTATGATGTGAACAGCTCAAGATAACCCCTTGCTACTTCAACCCAGAGCAGCTTAGCTCAGGGATGAAGCAGCAGGAATGAGTGACAGCAGCAGCAGGATAGAGGTCAACAGGATTCTGGGGAGAGGGGGAGGGATGGACAGAATGTGGGTGTTACAGGAGTAGGAAAGACATTCCTGAGAAGGGGGGTGCGCAGCTTGAGCAAAGGTGGGTGTGGTGTGCAAAACACCCAGGTGGTTGGAGCAGCAGCAGCAGGCCTGGTGAAGGGGTAAAGGGGAATGCTGGTAAAGTTGGCAGGCCAAGTGGGGCTGGTCACAGGGGGCTCTGACCAGTGCCCTAAGGCACCAGGAGCCAGAGGAAAGGCTGGGGGAGCTGTTGGCAGAGTCTGGCCACCATAAGCAAGCCCTGGGGCAGAAAGGCATTAATTGGTGATGGCCCAAGAGGGAAGGAGGAGGACAGAGTATAAATTCTCAAAGGAGACACAAACTAGGGCTCTCTACTGGCCTCCAGGGCTGCGGGGGCCTGGGCAGGACCCCTTCCACGGAGGCCCAACTGACACACGCACTGGTCCCTGATGAAATGCCAGCGGATTAAGCAAGCTGTAAGCCTGAACAGTCAAAAAAAAAAAGAAAGCTCCTTCCCAACTGCCAGCCAGTGGACTACTCCCTGATGGCCTGCCTCCCCTTGGTGAGTAAGGACAGAGGTGGAAGGGCAGAAAAAGGCTCAGCTTTTCCAGAAGCACCCCACAGGAAGGTCTCTTTCCACGGGGCTCTGTTAACCTGGACCAGTTGGCAGACAACGGTGGGGGCTCCAGGACCAGCCTTTGAGAACCTGTCCTTTGCAAACACCATGCCCCTTCTCAGCAGCCACTGCACCCACCACTGTCCTGGAGTCTCAGAGACACTCAAGTGCCTTGGTACAGGCTGGTTATTCATTAACAAATGAGAAAACACCCCACTATCTATGTGACATTTTAAAAAATGCCCAGCAGCCTGGGCCTCACATCACTCTGCACATAGTGTGCATCAATTCTGCACATAGTGCATCAATTCTGCACATAGTGTGAGGTTAAGGATGACCCTAGCCTGGGCTGCTGTGTGAAGAGCAGGTGCTCAAGAACAATAAAGATATTGGGGGGGGGGGGGGCGCGGAGAGAAGCAGGGTAACAATAGGCCACATAAAAGCAAGGACAAGGTGTGCTCCAGTCTTCACACTCAACAGAAATTCAGCTAGATAGGACAGTAAGCATTTGTGAGAAGGAAAACAGCTTCTGGGTGATCCTGGCCTTGGTCCCAAGGCAGGACACTCATTACCTGGGATGGAGGCAGGAGGTGCAGACTACCCTTGTGGCCCACCCCAGCTTCAGAGACTCAAAGGGCCCCCAGGAACTGAAGGCCCCCACAGCTGTCTCTTAGGTCCTCAATTCAACATACAGGGAGCCTGGTAGCAAATGGCCACCAGAGAGAGGGAAGAGATTTGCCCAAGGCCACAGAGCCTGTCAGTGATGACTGCAGGTCTGGATCAAGGTCCTTCTGCCCCCCTGCCCTACGTTCTCACCAAGGAGATGAGAGAGTGTATCCAGAGCAGCACTCAGCTTCTAAAACCGGCTCTGATCCCAGCCACCTCTCCCATGCTCCCCGACGGTTCAGACCTGGTTCAGACCTGACCACATGCACTCAGACCGGCTGCAGCCAGCCCCAGTCTAGGCCCAGGCCCTGGTGTACACCCTCGGGAGTGCAGGGTTATGCAAGATTGGTATTACCTCTTCCTTAAATCTATGATAAGACTTCAGTGAAGCCATCTCGACCCACCCAAAGTTTCCTTTGTGAGGTTTTTAGATATGGGACTCTACCGATTTTCTATTTCTTCCTGAGCCAGGCTCCTGAATTCTTCTTTCAAGGACTATCCATTTCACCTAAGTTACTTCATGTATTGGCAAAAAAACACTTATAATATTCTCTTATTATCCCTTTAACTTTTGTAGGATCTGTAGTGACATCCATTGATGTCGATAACCTCTGTCTTTTGTCTTTCTTTGTTAGCCCAGCTGGAGGGACGCCTGGGTGGCTTAGTCGGTAGAGCGTGCAACTCTTAATCTCCAGGTCATGAACTCAAACCCCACGTTGGGCACAGAGCTCTTTGGAAAATAATAAAATATTAGACCAGCTGGAGGTTTATCAATTCTGGGACATTTCACACTTGGTGTTTTAACAATGTGTTTGCTCCTCAGTCACTTCCCCAGAAGAAGCCCTCATTAGCGGACTACCCCTACAGGGGATGAGAAGAGCACGTTAATCCATATTTGCTGCCTGAACCCTATCAGAAACTCAATCAACCATCAGAAATGCAGAAGGTGGGGGGAGAAGAGAAGCTGCTGCCTCTCCTTCTGCTGCCCTCCCCACCCAGGCAAAGACTGGGGTCCCTCTTCCCTCCTGTTTCCCTTTGTTGTGCTGGGTCTGCCCAGCACAAAGATAAAGGAAACAAGAATGCTGTCCTCAAGGATCTCAAATCTACTTAAAGGAACAGACTTCAAAAACGTACCTCTGTGCCATGAGTGGTAGGAAGACTTTATGACATGTTCTGTATACCTGGGGAATCGGCAAGGGATAGGCATTGTCAGAGAAGGAGGTAACGCTTAAAGTCAGCTCCAAGTATCCAATGGGAGGTTACCAAGCAGCTAAAGAATGGTAATTGCCTGGTAAAGCCACAAGAGCAGAGTGAGGGCACTGTCCAGACCTGTGGAGCCTGAGGAGCCATGTCAGGCCGGACTGGGGGAGGGCAGGGCTAGAGGAGGGCTGACAAGGCCTTCCCCCAGGGCTGTGGGCGGGCTTAGCCCAGCCAGGGCCAATGTTCTCAAAGGGCATTGTGGCAGCCTGGAAGTGGAATCGTGGGAGAAGATGGGGAGACCAGAAGCCAGGTGAGACTGTCCACTCCCGGCCTGGACCTGTCCCAGCCTGCTGATGTTTGTGCATATGTGCTGGTGAAGAGTAAATGGGGGTTGGGAGCTGCCATCAGGGGCAGTCATGCTGAAGGAGGAGCTCCTGAGCTGAGGGGACAAGGAGCAAGCCCCTCACCCTCACCCTAAGAGGAGCTGCTGCCCAGGGCTCTTCCTTCCAGAAGACAAAGAAAGAAGCAGGAAAGGGTTAATAGACACTCCAATCTCTGGTCTAAGTTCCCCCTGCCATTAGCCCATAAAT